ACTCACTTCCCAGGTTCATATATATATATATGGGTACGTATATATTTTTTAAATATTATTATAAAACACAAATATGTGTAATTAAAACAAGTAATCTTCCAGACAAATTTGACATAAACTATACTCTGACCTACATGAAATCCTAAATATATATTTCACTTACCCTGCCATTTAGGATCCTCATTCATTAAATTTCTTTCTTTATCTAGAGCATTGGGTCCATTAGAAGAACAACTACCTTCAGCCTCTGCTACCTCTAAGGCTTGAATTTCTTTAATATCATAGACAGGTGGCCTATGATCATGACTTCCATGAGCAAAAGCACAATGTAATCCATTTTTTACACAATATCCTCTAGAATCTGTATCATGTACACACATACATGTTTTGTAATATCTTAAATGGTAACGTCTTTCAGTGTCACCGGCTGTTCTATGAAGATATGGACAACTGAAATAAAAATATAGGTACTTAATATTATTTTAGAATATTTGAGATGAAAACATGTTTTATTCCATTTTTCAGAAAATAAAATAATCATTTCCCGACTTGTATAGTAAAAGAATAAGTTCCATTAAAAGTCTTTCACATACGAGTAGCTGAAAAATGAACCACCTAAAATGTTGTTATTGCACAATGATACAAATGTTGGATCTGATGTATACTGTACATCAACACAAATTGTAAACTATAGTAATAGGCTACTAAAGTGCATCACTGCAAAAATGTTTGAATATAGTGCAAAACGGTCGTACTACCCTTCACCAGATTTGACTGGATTCTCCTACATTAGGGGTGAGGTTGTTGTAGTCGTGGAGACCGTGAGCATAATAACACTTGAAATGCATCGAACTTTGTTTAAATATGCCACTGTATATTTATACCTGTGAGAAACCACCCTTAGAATTGATTAAGTAAATTGTTTATTTGCTGTGTAGAAATTTTTTTTTACATCAGTTTGAATAGGAATAAATATCGATTTGTTTTGAGTTCGGGTTGAGACATTGTACTCATAGAATTGAAATCCTCTCATCGAGTGAGAATCTTGTATTCATACAGTTAGAATCCTGTTAAGAGTATTGTGTAGTGAAAAACCCAAGCCTCGTCCTCAGAAAAAGTCTAGTCTTTTCTAGCAATTAAGTGTACATAGTGTCGTGTAAGAAAAAAGGATTTTCTTCATCGATATCAAATCACCTTAAATTTTTTGTTCTCCTTCTCGGCTACCCATTCTAAATTACTAGTTCACCTTCTGTCTGGTTAAATTACTTTATTTCATTCAAAAATTAACATCAATCTAAATGACAAATTTTTAAAACGTATTATAGTTCACTTCGTATTAATATTGTAAACCATTTATTGTCACAGTTTTATTATTTAAAATATGTATACATATTTCTACTGAAAGTTTGAACTGGCTATTTTTCTTATACTCAAGTGAGACTATACCGAGGTGGCTAGATGAAAAAATATCAAAATTAAACAGTTTATAAATTCTCAAAAAAAATTTATTAGCACCCTAAACATTTTAGTTAAAAGAAGAAAGATAGATTCAAAAATAGTCACAAGTATGTACACAGTTTTGAGCTTTTCCCTGAGAACACAGCAGAACATAGAGCATAAAAAAACGCCTTTTTTAGGAGTGACTTAAACGTGGAGTCAAGGTGACAGCCGGCGACCACAAGTCAACCCGCGAGACCAAAAACAACGGACTATTTTTATGACAAGGTGCATTCAGCTTTCCAGCGAGGTAAAATATCTAAGAGATACTGGATGATAAGCTTACCTGGAATGCACACTTGAAAAAAGTGGTGAGTAAGGCGAAGCTGACATTGTGTGTATGCCGTCTCCTTATCGGTAGAACCTGCAAGCTGCAGCCAAAGATGATATACTGGTTGTATACATCGATAGTAAGACCTAGGATTTTTTAAGGTGGCAAAAAACACAACAGACCACAGCGAGGGAAAAACCGACCCCGACAGCTGTGCTAGGAGTCATGCTAAATCTACCACCCCTGCATATAGTGGTGGAAAGAGAACTGTGGTTAGTAGCATACCAACTCAAGAATAATAATGACTGGAGAGGTAGTCCCTACTCCAGCATTATGACAAAATTTATCTTTGTGGGAACCAACTCTGGGGATAGTATGCAACAAGATGGTTCCAAGGTTTCACTTCCACAAGCCATTTGAGACTCGAATGGAGTATCAAAGGGAATGGGAGAAAAAACTTGATATCCTGGAAAAACGGACGGCTCCAAAATGGCCAGAGGGGCGAGTGCAGGAATATATGGACCCAAACCTAGATGAACGGCAAGATAAGTCTGGGGAGGTTTCCTGCTGTATTCCAACCAGAAATTTTTGCTATAATGGAATGTCTAGTAGAGAATGTATGTAGTTGTTATAAACACAAACTCATATACTCGTATATATTCTGACAGTAAAACTGCAATTAAAGCTTTACACAAGATAAGTTCGAAACTTGTGTGGGAATGTTTATAAATGCTGACTGAACTGGCTACTACTAATACAGTTACACTATGTTGGGTGCCAGGACACAAAGGCTTTGATGTGAACGAGAAAATGGATGAACTTGCTAGGAACGGAGTTGAAATAAAGTTCATTGCCCTTCTATGATACACCTTCTGGTGTGGTAAGGAGGGCTCTGGGCAAGTGAACTGAGACAAAACACTGGACATACTAGAATTCAAGGCCAGGGCAAAGCCATTCGAAGGAACTTATGGAGTATCCTTTGAAGGAAATAACAAATGATTTGCTGAGCTTGAATAAAGTTCGGTTCAGAAAAGTGATGGGACTTATAACGGGACACTGTGACTTAAGGAAACATCTACACAAGCTAAAGTTTGTAGAGAGTCAGGTCTACCGAGGATGTGACTCGGCAGATAAAACCTCTCTGCTTATCCTAGGCGAGTGCCCAGGATTTGCACATAGTAGAATGACGCTCCTGGGAAAACCCTATCTGGAACCCAAGCAGCTGAGAGAAGTGTCGGCAAAGAAGTTTTTGGACTTTGTAAAAAGGACAAAACTATTTGTGGAATACGACTGAGTAGTGCGATGCACAGAGGCCTGATAAGGCTGCGGTGCTATGGGGCTTGATTATTATTACTAACCACTAGGAACAGAAGAATAAATACTCACTTCCCAGGTTCCAAGTTATTAAATCAGGAAATGAACATAACTGGGATCGCCAGCAAATGACAACTATCGGGTCTTATCAAAACTGGAAGATTGGCAAGGTGGTGAGCCAGTCACATAAGATGGGCAATAAGTTCTTTCGACCCATTTAAATCACCAGAAGCTGTTGGAATATACCTGTACTGTTGCTACAGGGGGTGGATTGTTTAGCTCCGATTCTAAATCACATCTTCAGACCCAGCATTGCACTAGGTTATATACCTCTGGCATGGAGATCAACAAATGTGGCGTTCATTCATAAACCGGGGCGCTTACCTTATGTCCAGGCAAAGGCATACTCTCAATAAGTTTAACGTCATAAAATAAAATTCCAAGATTGGCCCCTGTGTATAACGAAGGCAATGTCATCAATACCGACAGCTACGCTAGAAGTCATGCTAAAGCTGCCACCACTTCATATAGTGGTTGAAAGAGAAGCGTGATTAGCAGCATAATCACTCAGGAACAATAACCACTGGTGTAGTCCATATTCCAGAATAATGAAAAAATTTATCTTTGTCAGAACCCACTTTGGGGATAGTATCCAACAAGATGGTTCCAAGGTTCCACTTCCATATCATTCGAGACTCGAATAGAGGATCAGAATAAATGGGAAGAAAAGTTTGATACTTTGGAAAGATAGAGCCTAGCATGGTTTACGGATGGCTCCAAAATGGCCAGGGGGATAAGTGCTGGAATATATGTACAGACTCATACCCAGTTGGAGTGCAAGCTACAGTATGAAGACTGTATTTCAGGCAAAAACTTTCGCGATAATGCGTGATTAGTAGAGAATGTATGTAAGTAGAGGTTATAAACATCAACTCATACATATTCTCCGACAGTCACACAGATAGACGCAAGGCATGTTCAAAATTTGTTTGGGATGTTTACAGATGCTGACTGAACTGGCTACCACTAGTAGAGATAGTGTTGGGTATCGGGCCATAAAGGCATTGATAGAAATGAGAAAGCGGATAACTTGCTAGAAACGGATCCGAAACAGATTTCATTGGTCCAGAGCTCTTCTGTTTCACATCATCCAGAGGTCGGGGGGGGGGGGGCTCTGGGCCAATGGATGGAGTCAGACCATAGGAAATACTGGGTTCACGGCCAGAACAAAGCCATGCGAACTTATGCAGTGTCCTTTGGAGAAAAGATCAAATGAGTTACTAAGCTTGAATAAAATGTGTCTCAGAAAAGAGAAGGGACTTATAATGGGACACTGTCATTCTAGGAAATATCTATACGAGCTAAGGCTTCTATTATATGTTCATTTGGCCAACAACATATTTTAATTATTTATGTCCTCAAACAATTTTATTATATTGATGGTAAATTTCGTTTTGTTCCATTTCAAAAGGTCTCCAAAATGCCATGTTGTAATAGTATTAGTAAAGCAAATATCCCCCTTATTTTTCCCTTTTTCAATTGTAATATGAATGATTAATAGAAGGGTGCCTATAATAAATTAAAATTATCTGAATCACACCAAATTCCGCATTCCCGCACTGCACTGCTAGGCAACTAGTCGACAACTGAATTTTGACAACGCAATGGACCAGAGAAACAGTGCGCATTGCTCTTTGCCCGCACGCTCATTCTTCAACTGAGCGTATACATTTCTACCACCTGCACTTTTCATTCGACCAGATCTGTATATTGGTATGGCTAAGTAGGTAAATGTGGGAACAAGTTTTTCAAATATTTCAATACTTAGCGACCGAGCCTGGTACATACCTTGAAGATATTGGTTCTTCAATTGACTTTGGAAAAATTATACCAGCCTATCCGACCAAGATAACCCTATCCTTGCCCTATAGAATATTTAGAAATGTTAACACAAAGTGACATTTATTAAACTGTCACTTTGAGGGAAAATAAGAGCAATCGGTTATGGTACTTGATTCATCTAGGGACTTTATCTGTATTATTTATGTGCCATCTGGGCGGCAATTCTTGAATCGATTGAACAAGTTCCTATAGGAGAGTGACGTAAATATGACATAAAAATGTAAACATTTACTATAGAAACAAAATTATAGGTCAGTTTAGCAAAATTACGTCATTTTCTCATAGTAACTTATTTCCCCAACTCATGAATAGGGGTCCTGTTGTCTTGACTCCTACAATGATACTAAATTGAGAGATTGCACTTGCAACAAAAACTTATAAAATGGTGAATATATTATCGATTAGAGCCATCTATGGCTGGTTAATAATCTCAAAAATGTTGCTAGACTATTTTTACTGT